AGCACAGAGTTTAACTTTAGGGCAGTGTATAATTTTATATCCCATATTCTCACGTACAGGTAGACAGCGTGTATTTCGTTGTGTTTTAAAAGAGATCTTTAAATAGAAGCAGTTTCCATGTTTCAATGGGGGGTAAAGAATTAACCATACACCTCAAGAGTACACTGTCGGGGAACCCCCCCCGCCCCCCCAGGCAGCAGAAACAAGGCTGTATCTGAAAAACAACCCCCTCCCCCAACAGTATATTTTTGGGCTGTACAGCAATTCAGTGAAACTGCTAGGACAGACATTGTCTATGTTAAGCTGCAAATACTATTTTTTAAAGGAAAAAGGGTATTTTCCCCCTCAAAACGTTACCATTACCAAAATGTGGAAAATGCAATCTAAGACTGTAAGATTTATTAGGATGTGTTTATCTATAACACACACACACGCAATGAAGGAGCGAGAGAAGGAGCTTTCTATGCAAGCTTCTCAACATTTTGAAAATAAAACCCAGAATAAGGTAAATTGAATGAAGCCCCATCAAATTGCCCCTCCGCCTCAGTATTTTATTGGAAATCAGCTTTCTACCAACCCGCATTCAGACAGAAGCCCAGGGAAGCCAGTTCAAGACATACAAATGAATTCAGAACTATTGTGAACACACTTGCAGCATCCTGAACTCCAAACATGAACACACACACACTTGCCTGCTCTCCCTTACGTAGCACCTGGACAGTCATATTTTTACACTACAACTAATTCGGAAGAGTGCTCAATGCGGTATCACAAAAACACGCCAGTGGGAAGATTAGGAACACTTCTGCTACAATTTGAAACGGGTTTCAAGGTCACTGGTGGGTAGGCTGTGACAGAACAGAAACACTCAGGTTGGGGAGTTTATTTCATGTGATATTTTTTCTTTTACATGAGGCTGTCACCTGCCAGACTAGTTGCTCTTTTCTACCTACCCTTCCCCCTCTTAGGAGATTCCTTCCCATAGTTCATAGGTGTGCTTGCACATCATGTTTCACTGGATTACATGTTCATATAGTATGAGGATTATCGGTATTTTAACACTTTTAAAAAAAAAAAAGGAATTTCCTAACTTTTCATTTTAAAAAAATACTGGCAGGCTGTCAGCTAGAGCCCAGGCCTGGGAGCTCTTATCCCAGCTGAGTCACTGCGTGACAGTTGTTGAAGGTACGAGTTGAACCCCTGTGGTCTGGGACTTGTCACTGTGTCACTGCGTGACAGTGGTCGAAGGTACGAGTTGAACCCCTGTGGTCTGGGACTCTCTGGTCCAGCAACATTGCTGGACCAGAGAGCCCCAGCACAGAGGTTGCCGGTGGCTGAGAGCAGACCCCACAGGGCACAAGAGCCCACAGTTGGCCGGTCTGAGAAACCAGTGTGGGCATCGGAGCCCATGAGAGGAGAGAGGTAGAGTGCACAGCTGGCAGGGCAACCAGAGCCAGGGGGGTCCAGCCTCCTCCCCCCAAGACCTTCCCTGTCCGGAAAACTTCCTTGTCCAGGAACAGTCAGGTCCTGAGGCATCCGGGCCAGGGAGGTCCAACCTGCACTGCTTGATAGCTGACTGAGGCACAAAGAGGTTAGCACTGTGTGGAAGATCAGGCAGACAACCCCCACCACCACCACTGAAGTCTAAACGTTATGTATAGATCCCTATGGAACTTATAAGCCAAACTCTTATAGTACACACCCTAAGTAGATAGACACCCTGGCGGCAGTCAATACCCAATACTTCAAAAAGTGACAACCCTTCACCCTTGCGCAATGCTGCATGGGGACAAATCCCTTCTCACTGCCAGCAAGCAGTCAGTGTAAATGCTCTTATTCTTCGTTCATAGTGTCAATACTGAACGCAGCACAGCTGCGCCAGGCCCAGAGATGCAAAACGTGCCATTCATTTTTTTCCATTCTAAATGTACTCCCCTTTAATTTCACTAAGTCTTGCGATTTTGAACACCTTCAACCACGTCCCTCCTTGTAAAACTGTTCTCTGCAGACGAAATATTTCCAGTCTCTGCAGTCTCACATCACAAACCTTCTCAATCTCTCTAACCATCTTCATTACCTTTGACAATCTTTCCAGCTGCTACTATATTTCAGAGGAGCCTGGCAGTGCTGGAAAACACCCTGCATCAGTGTGACCACTGAGTCAGTACATCTCATCCCCACATTCATAATGGATACTACCATGTTTTCATTCAAGCTTAATTCCCCTGCCAATGTGGTCACTAATTCCTGAATGAGCTTACGAGCATCTGGGGTTTCACTAAAATCCTCCATAGTTTTATTAACTGAAACAACCGAGTCTCATCCACAAGTCAACTCTTTACCCACTTCCTACCCCAAGCTGTAAGGATGTAAAGACACCCTGACCAACACAATGGAACCTCCCTAATTCTCTCTTCTATTCTGCAACCCCCCTCTCTCTCTAAAAACAAAGATACACCAAGCCTCACCCCCTCTCTCAGGAAAGTGTTAATACAGACCCTGCTGCAGGGACTAGCACTTCACACATTTACAAGGTGTACTAGTTACAGGTATCCAATTATTCAAACTAATCCTGATTTTTTGGGGGATTCTACATTTACTTTGCTGGTTTGAAAAATTCTGTAGCTGGCAAAGGGCCGCCCAGGCAAAGTTCTATTTATTAATGAACTGAGGCTAGAGCAGGCAGCAAATGTTACACAAGACAGTAACTAAAGGTTTTGGCTATTTTTATGGCGGGATTCCAAACGAAATATGTATGTATTAGGGAACACATGAGTTAATGAGTTTAACAAAAAAGGCAAAACCCCCAAAAGTACTTAATTTAAAACAGATTAAATAAAAATGAATTTAATGTCACAATTTAAAAAAAAAAATCACTATACAAAACTTCACTAATGAGACACCAACTCGTTAAAAAGGGGATCCCAACAACTTATTCTCAAAAGATTATAGAATATATTATAGTTTCTAGCAAACAAAACTGATTACATGAAGCTTTACAAAAGCAGACTGTGAGGAAATGCAGACAAATTAAAAACATTGCTCAAAACAAAGGAAAGCGTAGTAGTGGAAATAGGAATTTTGACAGACACTTCGGGTTCACATCTTCTGCTCCTTAGCAGACTTGTCAGAAATCATGTCGATTTTCCCCTTACAGGAGGATTGTGGGAAGGGACCCAAAATATCCTTTCACAAGTGCATTTGGCTGAAGAGACTCCACTGACTGAGCAAGCTAATCCTGAATGCAGATTTAGCCTCCTAGAAGACACTTCCTTCTTACCTTTTCTGTTCACAGAATTGGATGCTTCTCTTTCCTCAATTCTACACAGTATAATCCATGTCTAACCTGGAGTAGATTCCACTGAGCATGCTGCAATATCAGCACTAGTGGAGTTCTCTGAGGCTGACCATTTGCAAACTCTTTAAAGACTATCTCCACTCAAAGTTACCCTCATTCAATAGAGAGCTATTGACAGAGCATCCCGTTTAGAACGGGAAATGTTTACCAAACTGTGACACACACCTGGCCAATGATCCAGAGGATCAGAGATGTGAAAGAGTTCCCTTACTCAGTTAGGATGCATGCTTGGCAGACAGGTGGCCCACACAAGTAGATACCTGCCAAGATGAGCCAATAAGAAATCTGCAGACAAGCAGAGCTTTAGTTTCTCTGTTTAGGGGCCCTCTTGTCTGTGACTTGCTGGAGACACATGCTACAAGAAAGATGTGATTGTTGCTCTGAAGCCCTTTATGAGATCATCCCATGGAGTTTCAACTCTATGGTCATTTTACCTCATTTGGCAGCTGTGGCGCTCTGCTTCCATTTTGTTCACAGCTAGGAATCCTTTTTTTTAAATGTGGAAATTAAATGATATCAGAAATTATGTAATTCTGCTACTATACATAATGGAATACATGAATTCTCTCTTTTGAAGGGGGTTCTGCAGTTAAGATGGTTAGAACTTATCAATTAAAGGGAAAACTAGAAGATCATTACCTCCACTAGTCACAAAAATGAGTAAAATCAACAATATTTAAACAAAACATTAAATATAATAAATTACTAAACAGGAAACTCATCTGGCCTGCCTGCTGACAGCCCGACAAAGCAGTGCTACTCTGCATTTAATGCATATGAAAGACTGTACATTCACTTTTAAAGCAAGTTCTATCAATCAGAAAAGCTGTGAAGAAAATATGGGGCTATTTCCCCAGAAAACCAATCTTAAATAACCCAAAAGAACATCTGAACATCTCCAGACACTAGCTTCCCAAGCAAAAGAGTTGCCTCCACACAACTGCGCAAGTCTCCAACCTCTCTCTCGCATTCAAATGCCAAGTGGTGTTTTCTTTGTCACTCGATTTCCTGTTGGGAAGTAGCAGCAAAATGGCAGCTCTCATTGAGAGATACTATAGTAGAATCATTCATAATCAGAGAACTAAAAACAGTAAGAGACATTTCTAATCGGTTTCAAAACGTAGTTTAGTATCTATCTTAGTAAAAGTATTAGAACTAGTCACAAGTTCTTATTTCAACGGCTCCTTAAAAAGACATGCTAGCTAGTACCAATTTAACCACTACTTTTGTTGTGGCATTGCTCACCTTTCACTTACATCACAACAGAGTCAAGATCACATACTACTAGTTCAAAGACCTTTTTGAACCTTGGCTAGAACATTACACCCATGTTCCCGAGGGCTGCATTGGGAAAGTTCGCAGGACAAGCAGCGCTTCAGACCTAGCCCCCATGCCAGACGTGAGGTCATTTCACCAAACAGTGGGCACAGAGAGGCTGCCCAGAAATGCCCCTTTTGAGTGAAATTTTAAAATACAAGTCTCAGTTTATACAATGCGAGAAGGGCTCTTTTAAATATACACAATGGGCCCAGTATGCTGTTTGTTCACATTGTAGCATACTGATCACATTTTAGCATAGTGATGCATATTTTAGCATATTGATATAATAAAACCAAGACCATGTAAGTTAATGTTTAATTTAGGGCTTGTCTACATGGCACGCCAAAGCTCTCTAGAGGGGTGTGATTTGTAAAGCGCTTTAACGTGCTGTGCATGAGTTCAGTCTTGAAGCAGGTTTCTCTCTGTCAATGTGCGCTAGAAACCTTTCGGAGCATACCAGCAGGGTCTTCAAGGGACAGTGGATCACAAGCCGCGAGAGCACTTTGCCGCACTGTGCGGACAAGTCCTTAGATGTTACTCTTCCTCCAGTCCCTAAAGAAAATACAACAAACAATGAAAAGAATACAGGGGTAGGGTAAGCAATGAGGTTCTGGGAAGAGAAACTCCTATGGAAACAGTGTCACTAGCAAAGCTTTTCCAACCGCTCTAAGTATGTTTTATACACATATGAAACAATGTGTTTCATAAAGGAGGTATATGGTTAGTCTGAGCTAGGTAGGTGATATTAAGAGCACAATAAAATTCATTTTTTGGAAATATTTGGTGCAAGTTGGGTGTCTCCCCCATACAAAAACTCATGCCCTCTTTCTACCTCAAGCACTCACCAACAAACAAGGGAAATCAAAATTCTGTACCTCTTCTGTTTGCGGCATTATTAAAGTCTTAACAGGAGTCCATGCAAATACATGGGTATTTTAGGACTGGCAAACAGATTCATTGCCCCTCAAACAATTATAATTGACTCCCCATCCCAAGCAAGAACTGTTTAAAACCCAATATACGTTCACAGTCTTTTATGCCAACTGCTTAGAGGTTTTAATGTAAAATTAGAGTCTTTTTTAAAAATAGCAAATCTTTTCAATTAATGACTCCTGCACAGAAACTCTGAATCCAGGTGTAAACCTTTTCATCTGCACTGCATTAGATCATTCAATAGCTGTCACTTGATTTACAGATAGCCTCTGTATAAAACACAGCACACATTTTTTCAGCCACTTCTGGACATAAGTAGTTGCAGGTGGTTTAAAGGAAAGATGTCAAATCTTTTCTTGTTCAAGATGGAATTCACACAGGAAGAAAAGAATGCCACAAAATTGCTGGACGTGGAATTAAGTTTCATTTTCCCGTCTCCCATTCTTGTTCTGTACATTTCAGACAGGCTTCTCCCCCAGTACTTAGTAGCAGGGAATATTTTGGAAGTGCAACAGTGATAGGACTTTTGCCCAGCTTCAGTGTTCATGGCGACAATTGATTTTGCCTTCAGAATGCTCCAAAACATCAAGCATTTCTTCTATGATAGCCTGTAGTGCCCGACCCAGCTGTTCTGCAGTATATGGTTTTCCCAGTGGAGGAACATGAACAAACGCAGACCTGCCGTGGCTCTGGTACAAGGAAGTATAGTAAGTGAAATCACAGAGATATCTGTAATTAAAAAAAAAAAAGTTTTAATAGTAAGTAGTAAGTACTCTGGGCAAATGGATATGGATAAAATTGAGGGTGGGAAACCCAGGACCAATGGCTTCTGCTAATTAAAACTGGAAAGCTCTTTACAAAAAATGGCTAAATTCATCCAGTATTGACTTCAGTTATTGTCTCTGCAGCAGCCAAACAGGTTTCAAAGGCTCTCGTCATTTCCATGCCAGCTATTCTAAAGCACCAAAGAATTTCTCCCCAGACTGTAAAAACATCACTTTTGTAGCTGCTAAATATCAAGTAGATGAACAGCAGCATGTGTCACAAGCACAAAAAACCCATTTCTCCGCTGTCCTTGTGTAGTTACTGCACAGACTGGAATCAACGGAGAAAGACACACGGAAAGAAGGCAGGTTCCAGAGGCATAGACTGCTAACCTATCAACGGAGAAAGACACATGGAAAGAAGGCAGGTTCCAGAGGCATAGACTGCTAACCTTCAGTGTAGCATCCAAGTAATAATGTCATTAAAGGTCAGAGCATTCCTCTGCTCTGCAGAGGGCCTGTTCCTAAACATTTGTCATTTCAGTGTTCTATTTTAGACAACTGATGGAAGTGAGCAAAATTAGCATGTTTCTAATTAAGGAAGAGAGAAGTGCCCACAAGTGCATCAGTCTAACGTATTTATCCTCCCAACACCCCTGTAAGCAGGATAGCGCTGCTGTCCCATTCATCCATATGGGGACACGGAGGCATAGACAGGGTAAGGCATTTGCCTAAGGTCACATGGGAAGGCTGTGGCAGAAGAGGGTATCTAGAATTCCAGGCTAGGGCCCTACACTCCAGACCATCCCTTCCTTTGGCACACTTTAACAGGGGTGGGGGGAAGACATGCAAACTTTGAAGAGTTTATAATTTCGCTTTATGTAAGGAAAGCTGAAGTGGAGATATCAAGATTCAGATAAGGATACAGCTGCAGATATTAAAGAAAGTCATTTCAAACTAATATTTCAGTTCTCTGGATATATTTTGCTAAAATGAAGAAGCTGTTTTTGCTATTCGGGGAAAAAGTTATGACAATGTTTAACAGTAAAACAAAACCACATGATAGCTGTTTCTGCTGCAGACTGCATTATGGGTTTAATGCAGTTTTGGAAACTACTCCCACAATAAGAACACTATGTGATAATGATCTAAGTGGACTTCCAAGAAACACAAGGTAAGGGCCCCAAAACATCCCACAGACATAGAAAAAGAGCAGTGATAAGAACCTTTGGTTGCATGCAACATGTCAGTCTACTACAAACATTTTAATGGCTCTCAGCTCCAGCCCTGGGCCTTTGGTTTGTCTATGAATGGTGCACAATTTTCATGTCATCCCCAGGGTTATGCCAGAACTGTGGCAAGATCTCCAGATTAAATAAGAACCTTTGTTTCTTTTTCATTATTGCAACAATAGAAAATGAGTCCAGTTCCAATGCTTCAGACAATGGGTAAAAAGGAGTTACGGTTGAGAGCACGTATCAGTGTTTTACCCCTAATGACAATACAGTGATGTTTCAATTACAACCCTAGGAAATTCACAGTTAGGGTTAAAACTTACAACGCAGACACACCCAAACATGGAAGCCCAGTTTGGGCATCTGAACACTCTGACCTCTGTCTTCCAGGGGCACCATGAGTAAGCCCAGGTCTAGAAGTAAGGCACCCTCTCTCTTTGTAGTCCCAGATTAAATTAAATTCATTTCAAAAGACAAATTAGGATTTCCTTCCCCGCCCCTGCTCCCTGCATGAAGAAATGAGAGGCCCACAAACTCCCCCCCCCCCCCCCGCCCCTTAGCACAAACAGAAAATATACAGCCACATGAATGGGTTTTACCATTGTTCACTATGATCCCATACCTGCCAGCATCCTTGGATATAGTAACTGTGACGTCTAGTCCCAGGGTTGACACTCTCTTGCAAACTGCATCCATGTCAATAATGGAATCAATGCACTCTGGGCCTCCTTCTACACAACACTGTGAGCCTGGGCAGAAACGCAAACAGAAAATATACAGCCACATGAATGGGTTTTACCATTGTTCACTATGATCCCATACCTGCCAGCATCCTTGGATATAGTAACTGTGACGTCTAGTCCCAGGGTTGACACTCTCTTGCAAACTGCATCCATGTCAATAATGGAATCAATGCACTCTGGGCCTCCTTCTACACAACACTGTGAGCCTGGGCAGAAACGGCAGTTGTCCAAGCCTTTGTATCCAACGTTATGCCCACATTTTTCCAGTGTTACGGTTGTAGCCATACCTGACACACCTACATGAACCACCAACTGCAAAGAAAAAAACCCTAAATTAGAGCTAACTGAAATTAGGGGGATGGGAAAAAAGAGGTAAGACAGTAACCCAGGGGACATCTACTATACTGCCGGGGGGGTGTATCTAGGGTGCATTAAACCCTAGAGCGCTATAGCAGAACCTCAGCGTTGTCAACTGAGCAGTAAAGCACACACTCCATTTGGAATTGGAAGTATAATTAGACAGCAGCACATACAAAAGCAAATGTTCGATATCTCTTTATGTGCTGCCCAGTGGTGCACAGCATGTAGTCAACCTGTGGAACTCCTTGCCAGAAGATGTGGTGAAGGCTAGAACTTTAACAGAGTTAAAAAAGAGCTAGATAGATTCATGGAGGTTAGGTCTATCAATGGCTATTTGCCAGGATGGGTAGGAATGGTGTCCCTAACCTCTGTTTCTCTGGAGGTGGGTGACAAGGGAAGAATCACGTGAGGATTACTTGTGATCCCTCCCTCTGGGGCATCTGGTATTGGCCACTGTTGGCAGACAGGATACTGGGCTGGATGGACCTTTGGTCTGACCCAGTGTGACCGTTCTTCTGTTCTTATAGCATGCCTGACTAAACTAGTAAGATAGAGGTGGTTTCCTGAAGCAACTACAGTACTGGGGTGTAATTAATGCAAACTGCCAATCCTGAAACAGTGCAGGCGATAAAGCTTGGAGCATTTCATCCCCTGGGAAACAGCACTCCAACTACTGTGAGCTAATTCAGGGTGAACAAAGAGAACTTGGAACTGTGCAAGATTGGCAGAGGGCCACTGAACTACAGGTTGAACCTCTCTAGTTTAGCAACATCCGTGGTCCGGCATGATTTTAGTTATCCGGAAGTAACTTGTTAGTTATCCGGAAGTTATCCGGGTGTGGGCAAGTTTCTAATACTCCCAAAGAGTTTATTTACAGGCACCAGTCCTGGCTCTGTGTTCCATGCTGTTATTTAGCTCTAATTTACCCCTCAGTGTCTTTTGAGAGCCCAGTAAGCAGTGGAAGTGTTGGTCATGCTGCTACATAATATTGACCACCCATGGTTTGGCAAATTCTCTGGTTCGACACCAGTCAGATCCTGAGGGTGCTGGACAAGAGAGGTTCAACCTGTACTTGTGAACTAACGGGCACAAAGGTACGTCCAACAGAATCAGGTCCTGTAGGAGGATCTGAGCGATTTTAGAATCTACCAGGACTTCCATGGGAAAGATGGATGACCATCTGGTATGGCAGGCAGGCACGTCACCCGTTTTCTTTTAAAGATGGGTTTTCTCTCAAATGCTTGTGTTCTGAACAAACAGTATTTTGCTGTTTGAAAGCTGGCTAATCTTGCGTAGCCATGTCCTTGCCCTGAGAGAACAGAGCTGCAAGTGAGGAGCTGCAGTCAGGCCTGCTGAGGTGACTCGTGAGTTGCAAGGGTCTGCAGCCCTGGAGTAGATTATGGGATTCCTGCCCTGAGAACAGTGACAAAGGTTGGAGACCAAAGTGGGCTGATCTCAACAAGGCCATGTAAACACCAGTGGGGCAGGTGATTTGGGAACTGACACTATCACCAGGGCTCTCTATACTTCAAGCTGCGTAACTTTCAAATTCACAGGTTTCTGTTAATGGGAAAGATCCGTCAATATATCAACACTTTATCAATACACGTCAGAAGTTTGACTTTGCATTAGGAACAGCAGCCCATGATAGTAAACTCATGGATCCTTATGATCTGGTCCATTCTGCTTTGCAGGTTACTCACTTGTGGACAATGTTCTTTCCACAATGCAGGAATTAGTCTTTGCACTGTTTGGTATTCAACGGGGATTTCATATACATGCAGATCCACACCTTCTCCCAAGCCCAGCTTCTTCAGCTCCTGAGAACAGGGGAAACAAAGTAAGTGTAAAGCTCTCAGACATGTATGCTGGAAAGTCTACCGCTGGGCCAGCCTTCACGTGTGCTTGCTGCTGTTCTCAGCTCTCTTCAGCTGACTTGCTTCCATGCCCCCTGGAAAGAGGCCTGAAAGCCTTCTGAATTAAAGAAGAATGGCATGACTATTGCTCCTCTGCTGGCCATCTGTAGAAGTGACACAGCAAATCGAGAGCAACCCCTGTACCTGTCCTGCGGAGAGGTTTGCTCCATAACTGTTAGCTGGGCGGGGGGGCTCAGGGACAGCGATAGGAAGGAGCATGCATGCAAGCATGAGAACTTGCATATTTTAAAGTCAGCAACTCATCTCAAAGAACCAGCAGGCAGACTGACACTCTGTTATCCTTTTTGGGGAATTAACTATCAAAAGCAGCATCAGCACAGATGACTCAATAGATTTGCGGGTTTTACTTTCACTTTGGCAGGATCAAAAATACTGTGCAGCCTGGAACTCTAAAATGAAAAAGGAGTTTCCTATGCTGGTTTCACCTATACCATCCGTTTATGTTTATAATTAATTTGGCAACAGCGACTTTTAATTTCAGATTCAAATCCTGCAGGAGGTCACTTCCTCCTCTAAGAGGCCTCTGACTATTTTACATATTTGGACACTGACTGAATTTCAGCTGAACACTCAGCATTGAATTTTTCTCTACAAGAGTGAAGGCGGAAGCTCTGTGGCATGCTTGACACTAGCTAGAAAGGTGCCGTATTAAAGGAAGGAATGTTCAGTTACAGAGAAGATAGCTAGCTAGGAAACACTGGGAAGCAGCGTCCCAAACCCCTCAGATCAAGACTATCAGACAAACGACAGCGCTGTGCCGTGCTCCTGGTAAGCTGGGTGCTGGTGCGGCTGCTCAGAAGAGATTCAGGTGCCGCTCAGCTGATTAGCCCACAGCTAGGTTTTGTTTCTGTGGGTGGTGCATATTCACACGTGCCTTGGTGCGCACATGGATGGAAAGAACTAGAGGGAAAATTGGCATTGTGGCTAAATGTTACAGGAACTAGTTTTCCAGATGATTAAATTAAATATTATAATGCAACTGGGAATCTGGTCCCTTGGGGTAGTACAATTAGACAGCACAAGTCCCTATGCAGGGCCAGAACACACACTCCTTTAGGCATAAGACACACGGACATGCTTGAGCTACATTCTGTCATTCAGCTTTTGAAGGAAACAATTATTTTACAGCAGGATTTCAGGTACCTCTCTTCCCCCATTCCACTGAGCGAGTGCAACTCACATCACACAGCTGCCTGACCAATCAGTACTAGGGATGTGAAAGTGTAGCCATGTACATGGTTAACCGATAAGCCTGGGCTCATCGGTTAACCTTCACACTTACATGCATGCTCCTGGTATGCCTGGGAGCTGGCTTAACAGCCATTCCCACATGCATACCAGCTCCTAGGGAGCCGCTTTCTCCCCCGCCCCTGTGCTGCCGCCTCTGTATCAGAGGCTGCGCCATTGGAGAAAGCGGGGGGGACGGGGCGGGGGGGGGAGGCAGGAGCCAGTGTGTGTGAGGAACCGGCTTACATTTTCAGCGGTTACACATTTACTTAATGCATTTTAATATCCCTAATCAGTATGCATACTGCAAGTGTTAGTGTGCATTACATCTCCACCAGCTCCCACACCCCCATAAGCAGGAAGGGCCACTTACAGCCCCCCCTCACCCCATTCAGCTAGTGGGTATGACAATAGTGTTATGCCAAGGCAAACATGAGGTGTATTCCCATCTTCCAGATATGCTGAACTCCTCTATATGTATCCAGACCTGGGCCACGTGGGACCACTTTAAGTAATGCTTTGCTTGAAGTGCAGCAGCATGTTTCACCCAAGCATTTTCCCCAACAGCTAATTCAGCTTCACAAACCCATTTGTGATGCATGGACAGGAAGTAAGGTCCCCATTTTAGAGACTGGCAATGCAGCGATACACAACCTTGAGCAATTGACTTATCAGGGTAGCAGCAGAGCCAGAAGTAGACTCAAGTTCACTAGATACCTTGCACAGTTTTAAAGATAAGGCCACCCTCCTTCTTTCAACGTCATCTGGACACGTAGGGAAGGTCTACGGAACGGGGACAGGTTGATCGAAGCTACACAATTTGAATTACATCAGTACTGTAACTCAAATCAACATAGCTTAGATCTTACTGCAGGTCCAACACTGTGCTGAGTCGACAGAAAAAAAACTCCCTCATTGACTCACCTTACTGTTCTGGTGGCGTACCAGAGTCAACAGGAGAGCAATCAGTGGTCGATTTACCTGAATCGATCTCTGCCCCATCGATCACAGTGAAGATAAGACATTAGTGGTTCATGTGGTGTTGTCATGTTTATCCCGATGTTGTTTGTGACAAGACAGAACCCGTAAGAACAGGTATCTTGATTGCACTATCCCTTTAATAACCTTTGTATTGCTTCAGAGGACTTTGCTGTTTCAATACATTTTAGTTTGATAGATTAATCAAATATTAGGGGTAAGCAAGCATTAAGACCATTTACTTGATCATATAGTGCAGGGGTGAGGAACTTTTTTTGTATCAGGACCGCTGATCCACAGAAAAATCAGTCAGGGGCCACACACAAGTGAGGGGAAAACCCTCACTCACACTGCCCCAATTTGGGACCCCACATTTCCTTCACACACCAAAGCGTAAGGAGGCCGAGACTAGTAGATTGTGTGCTCCAGGCCCAGCTCCGCAATACTGGGGAGAGCCCTGAGCCTCGGGGGCCGAATCTGGGCAAGCTTTGGGACGCATCCAGCCCCCAGGCTTGAGGTTCCCCACCCCCGATTTAGTGCACTGCAAATGAATGCTTCCTGACACACTTATAAGAACCAACAGCACCATTTGCGCCACCTTTGGTTTGTTGCACCAAAGGTATCCAGGTTTGCTTAAGAAGCAACCTAGTATTGTTTATTTTATGGAACATATACAGATTTTATAACAGGAATCCGAGTGGATGGCAGTGCTTAGAGACGAAGTTCCCCAGGAGCTATAGTGACTGTCCCTGTGCTTGTAGGTAACATGTTCAAATGCATTCTAAGCCATGATGGCTATCTGAAATGCAAAGGTAGAATGTGACTTCGCTGACACCGTGGTTGTCACTTTTCACCATATCAAAGTTATGTATTTTGGGTTGGGTGGGAGAAGGCTATTGAATTTCAGTAAGTTGTGGTTGCTCTATGCTGATCCGGGCACTATGAAAATGAATTGTTTTTTCCACATCAAAAGTGTGCAGCTGAAAAGCGGAGACAACTTACTGAAGTGCGTGTGCGTGTGCGTTCCAGCAGCTGGCTATGGGATTAGTCTTGGGAGAGACCAGAACGCGTGTTTTCCAGCAGCTGGCTATGGGATTAGTCTTGGGAGAGACCAGAAGGGTGTTTTCTATACTTCTGTAAGATATGAAGGTTCATTATAAATCAATGCATTTATTTTTCCACAAATCCATACAAAATCAGTATTGTTGATAAATTGCTTCCACCATCTGAACTAAGAGAATTTAGATTACAATTTTAGTTAAGATTAATGGACCAGAATACAGACATGTATGCAGTTATAAAATGTTACAGAATGTATACCCTCTGTGCAAAATAACTGCTTACTTTTATATTTGAGACTCTTTTAAAATAAGACTGCATCTGACTTCCTTAAAAATTCAACCGAGTTTAATCTTGGTTTATTTAAATGCAGGACTAGACTTTCTGCGGTCGTCAAAACTTTGTCCTATGATAATCTTAGAGAAAACCAAAGCCATCCCCCCATCCCAGACTGTAACTAAATTCAGGGGCCAGAGATGCCCTAAATTTCCCATATATCCACAGTCAGAGAGAAAAAAAGATTGTTTTGAGTATCTCACTGCATGGCTTAAGTACAAGGACATTACACCTGTGCTAGCAACTGAATGGTGCCTCCAACAGCAGCATAGCACATGGAAGCTTTAGTAGTTTTGGGGAGAGTAATACCGCATTGTACTGTTTGGCTACTTTTTGTAACAACCTAGTAATAATTGATTCTTCAAATTTGTGCCACTTCATTGAACTCTTTATTCGTACATTAAGATACAAGTTTTAACACTCATGTCAGATCACAGGATAACGCATCCCCCACTTGCTTAGTGAGGTACTGAGGAACAAAGGGACTGACTTTGATTATTTTAAACATTAAGACTTAGAAATACAGCCTTGATCATTTCCCTCTGGTATTATATAAGTTAGAAACACAGATAGTCAGGACAGCTACAGGGTGAAGTATAACAACTGTTCATATGCAACACACGTTTTTTATTTGTAGTCATCATGTCTGTATCCAGCTGTTGTCTCTTCTCTTATAGCTGGATTGTAAACTTCTTTGGCGTTAGGTTTGTACAGCGCCTAGCACAACAGGGCCTTGGTACATGAAATCTGGGGCAGGGATGGAAATCGAGAAGTTAGTGTTCCTCAGAGTAGGCCTGTGAGGTACCCAAGAGGACGATTGTGTGGATCTAGGAAAAGGCAACTAGCAAATCCCCGCTCCCCCTCCCCAACCATTAGTTAAAAATTGTGGAGAAGTTGCCCCCAGGCTGCT